GTTGTCTTCATTTATGATTTGCTTTTGAACTTGTCCGATCGCTTTGCTAGAAGATAATGTCTTCAGCATTTCTTCTACTTGCCTTGTCCTGTTTTACTTTACTTAAGGTTCATTTATTGACAACTAGTTGTTATTAAGTTAACACATTATCCAAGATAAGGTTGGGGTTAGAACGTACTCGGCTAACACTATTCATATTTGAGGAGGGCAGAACTTGTGTTGTGACACCTTGTCTGAGTTTGGACTTTAAGTTTTTTAAATTTTGACATGTTTTTCTTCATCGATTCTTCTGAAGTGTTATGATGTTTCATTTGTCATTTATGCCTTTTTCCTGTTGAATCTTACATTGATTGAATATGTTGTTGGTCGTCATATAACTTGCACTATTTTCCCTTATTTTTACATTGTATTTGTTGTTGAGTAATGCATTTGTGTTTGGACGTTTAATAATTATTCCTTTTGAATTGATTTGAGTATTGTTTACTGAAGAGGAGGGTTTGTTATGGATTAATTATGTATATCTGTTCTATCTTGACACTGTCCAGTAATCATATCTTATTATAACCAGTTTCAGCTGTTTTACTCGATTGACCAGACTTCAAGACTCCAGTGATGTATGACCTCTTTAATTTCTGATGAGGTGTTTCCAGGCTGACAGCCCTGTCTCACATATGGAATTTGCCTGGTTAAATAAAGGCAAATAAACTAAAATAATTAAAGGCAAAAACTATGGTCGAGACAGTTTTCTAGCGAAATAGTTTCTGTCAGTTTGTCTTTCATGTGAGACTCCTGGTAGTTTGGAGGTCTCCTCATTTTTCTGCTCATTTAAGATGTCTGTGAGGTGATTTTTGGACCGTTTCACTTTAAAGCAGCAGGTTTAGTCTGGAGATGCTGGGCCGGCATCAGGTCAAACCGGTTTCACTGATAACGCTGCAGGTTTACGTGTGTACGCTGAGCTGAAACATGAGAAGAGTGAACGAGTTCAGACTCCTTGCGTTTGTTTGTGGTCGCAGCAGCTCAGCCTTCAGTGTTTCACCACCGTCAGTGTCTCTATTTCTGAATATGTGTGTTGGATGTGACACTGTTTGTCTTCTGCCAGAAACCACAGAGAAGTCAAAACTAATCTGGTGTATTCCTGCAAAACATTTATATTTTGTTTCYAGTCYTTAATTTAAACTTGATGTTGGTTGGTTTGTTTCAGTACATCTAAGAATACTGTTCTTAGAAACATCTTTGACTCTGATCTGATCCAGTTTTTGCTTTGATTCTAACCCACTTGAGTCGTTACTGAAAAACTATGTTAAACATCAGAACCGCTAACAAAACGCTCTATGAGCAGAGTTTATTCTCTGCTCAGCTCATTTTCTGACCAATTTAGATTCTTTGAAGGGCAAGTGGGAGATGGACTTGGAGGAATCCATATCAGACACAGTTTGGCAAAAAATTATTCAAAATATATATTTGTCTTCAATATGTGTGAAACATGTTATAGTTCAATTCAAGGTAGTACATCGTCTATACTGGTCTAAGGACAGATTGTGTGAATTCAAAAAGGACTTGGATCCGACGTGTGATCGCTGCGGACAATCTCGTGCCACACTTCTACACACATTCTGGTCCTGTCCAAAGTTACATGGATATTGG